GAAAATAGCTACCTTTTTCGTGTTCGTAGCAGCAGGAAACATAGTTCCTATCTTACGCAACTTTTTGCTAAATGCTATAATAAAAGAAACCACAGAGAGCAGACGACATTAGAATTGTAAAGTAGGCTAGTGATGTTTCTTCCGGGTAGCTCTGCGAGACCAGAGCTTGACATCTCCACCGTGTAGTTCTCTCTCGTCTGTGTGCTGGAGTATATTATTCTCCTGATGTGAGCACATGCAGCAAATTAATCACATAACAGAAAAACTCATATTCAGTGACTGCTCATCTTTTATAACAACAACAACAACTAATAATAAACTTTTTATGGACTTTTTTGGATTTTTTTAATCATTTTAAAATGGACATGGCAGATAAAAAAAAAAAAAAAAAGTTTAAATGTATAACCTTACGATATTTTACTTTACTTGTTTATTAAAAGCCACACTTTTCTGAAAAATAAAATTACTCAATATTTTAATTGTTTTAGCAAAATTCACAAGTCAACCTTAAGACTTACTTTGAAACTCATTAAATAACACTAACTAAATAAATAAATACAAAATAAATAAACATCTATCTATCTATATATATATATATATGTATGTATTAGTGCTGTCAAACGATTTAATCACGATTAATCGCATCCAAAATAAAAGTTTTTGTTTACACAATATATGTATGTGTGCTGTTTATATGTATTACGTGTATATAAATACACACACATGGATGTATATATTTCAGAAAAATATGTTATGTTTATATATTAAATATATTTATCTATAATATAAATGATATGAATATAAATATAGACATGGAAATACATGGAAATATGTTAGTATATGTGTGTGTGTGTGTGAGTGTGTAATGTAAGAGTGTGTGTGTGTGTGTGAGTGTGTGTGTGTGTGTGTGTTAACGGTCCATGTCAAGCTATCTGTGAGCTGCACACCCAAAAACTTGATACTGCTGACTACTTCCACCGCAGTGTCACTGAAGATGAGTGTTGTGTGCCTGTGCTGCTTCTTCCTGAAATCAACAATGATCTCCTTTGTTTTTTCTACATTCAGGAGCAAGTTATCTGTGTTGCACCAATCCACAAGCTGTCTCACCTCCTCCCTATAGGCCTGTTCGTTGTCATCCTGAGTGGCTGCGGATCAAGCCGCGCTGCTGGGTCATAACCTGTCAATTTTGTAAATGTGTAGATTTTTTCCCCCAATTCCAGAAACGAATCTCTCAATGCTTCACTAAAGTTGAAAAACTCTTACAACAGCACTCTGTGTGAAACCATGTAGCACTGATTTGGTGCAAAACACATTCAGTGATTATGTCTTTAAAATGATTCAGACATCAACAAAACTCAGTGTACCTTTTTTCAAAACCATTCAACTTGAGGTCACCAATTTTATTCTTTAAAACCCATCTTTAATAATCACGATGACATATTTAAGTGTTTTCCATCATGATAATTTCTTAAAATGACTTGCATCTCATTTAGAGACGCGATTCATGAATATGCTAATTAGCCCCGCCTCCACTTAATCGCTTAGTTGACTGAAGTAGTGCAGACTATAGAGAATGCAGAAAGTGCTGTTATAACCGAGCAGCAGCCTCGCGCTCTCTCTCGTGAAGCCAACACGCAAGTGACTTAAACTGTAATTCATCAACTGGCCGCTAGAGGCTGCTGCAAAAGAGAGTCAGTCCCATAGACTCCCCATGTTAAAATAGCCCGGCCGGGTAGGACCGTCAGAATACTTCGGTAAGTTTCGGTGCACATTCTTAAAGCGATAGTCACCCAAAAATGAAAAAAAGAGATGTCCGAGCTTCTATTTTTATAAAGTAGAAGTGGATGGTGAGTTCTGCAGTATAAGTCACCATCCACATTCCTCCATATAAAAATGGAACCTCAGACATTTCATGATTTAGGCTCTGAATGACGTTTTTGTATGAACTCACTTTTATGTAAATATATGAATGCATTAATATATGTGACCCTGGAGCACAAAAACAGTCATAAGGGTCAATTCATAGGCATAAAAATAGCTAATTTTATATTATAATTTTTTTAGTCAAGTAGAAGTGGATGGTGAGTTCTGCAGTATAAGTCACCATCCACATTCCTCCATATAAAAATGGAACCTCAGACATTTCATGATTTAGGCTCAGAATGACGTTTTTGTATGAACTCACTTTTATGTAAATATATGAATGCATTAATATATGTGACCCTGGAGCACAAAAACAGTCATAAGGGTTCCTCGAATCTGATTGTCTGATAAGAGTGCGATATTAGAGTGATAACAGAACTCCAACAATCATTTCACTGTTCGTATCACTCCGCCCAATCCACTATAAATTTAAAAATAATACTGTTTTGTGTTACAGAATGTAGTTTTAAGAGTTTTTTTGGGCGAGAATGTGCTTGTTTAGATGGTCTATTAATAAAAATAGCGTCTATTTGAAAATGTGCTTAGATGTTTTCGGAGACGTGAGCTCCAGTGCATCAGCGGATGTTGTGGGTAAACATGAGATATATTTCGTTTTGGGTAAATCCAACAGGCAATCTTTGGTCTCATTCATCTATTATTTGTTCCAGAGCAAATAGTTTTGGCAAAATCTCATCATCTTTATGTAACTTCTATGCTGTATATCAGAGCGCAGCTTTTGTACTTTTGACTGAACTTTTATGATGGCTGTTGTTGTTTATGAAATATTATCAGTCATCATTACGACCGCAAACATCTTCTATTACTACTACTACAGTACACTTTTCAATTAATTTAATTAAATCAAGTATCTTTAGGTTTATAACGGGTCTGGATCTCATATTGATGAACAGGAATTTTAGTTTTTTTGAGTAAAGCTGCAAATTCTTTCACTATAATGTCAGCTGCAATGAATTTCTGTTTCTATTTGGCGTGCTATTTATACATATGATACGCATGTGTTTGGCGTGCATATAATACACAGTTTTTGCGTGCATATCATATGCAGTTTGGCGTACATATATCCACCTACCCCACACCCTTATACCCAACCATTGCGTATCATATGCACGCCAAAGTAAATTTTTGCGTATAAATAGTACGCCAAACAGAAAATCGTGCCATTGAAATGCACTTTCATGAGATTGGGTTACGTACATGATGTAAGCGTGCACCGGCCCGGAATGTTTAGTGCAAGTGTGAGTGCAGGCCAGCAGGGGAGGGGGATAATCACACTTGGGCTTGGTTCAAGGCAACTGTGCCTAGTGTGAGTACACCCTTATATTGAAAGAAACTGAAACGCGGTTGTAAACAAGGGAGTTATTTTTACTTTCAACAACAGCTTGTAAGACGCAGCCAACAATTGCACTGAGCAGCACTGTCATCGGAACTCACCCTTAACAGATGAAAGGATAGTACGACAAAGATATCGCTTTTGCTCAACGGACATTCAATCCAATGTTTTATTGTGAATATGAGATTGAGCTGAAGAATGAATGCTGTATCAGATGCAGGTAATCTCAGCTCTCACAATACTCTACTCCACTGCTTTTAATACAGTAATATCAATAAGCTTTTAAAGCTGCAGTCCGCAAGTTTTGCCATCTCTGTTTGAAACCTGCAATTGCAGTTATTTGTGGAATTATTTTCTTAACGTGGGTGTGCACCGGCAGCGCTCCAGCGCGGATGAATCTAATGTTTTGAGGTGAATGTCACCGCACCGGTGTGGATATTCACTGTACTTAGGAATCACAGATTCTAGCCTACATCTTGGAAGTGAGTGTATATCTATATATATATACATATATATACAGCGGGTAAAATAAGTATTGAATTATAAACTAGGTGAGTATGATGGTTAACTGTAAATTACCTCAACTTATATGAAAAGTAAACATTTCATATATGCATGCATTCATATTACAACATATGTAAAAATTACATTTTAGAAGATGATACATGCAATTTTTATTGTAAAACTCTGAATTTCACAATATTATGGTGAAAGGTTATATTTACTTAATTCACAAAACTATGCATACATGTTTTATATACACAGGGTTGGTAGGATTTTTAAAATGTTTTTCAAAGTCTCTGCTCACCAAGGCTGCATTTATTTTGATCAAAAATACAGTAAAATAGTGAAATATTATTACTATTTAAAACAGCCAATTTCTATGTGAATATGTGTTAAGCTGTAATGTATTTCTGTGATGCGCAGCTGTATTTTCAGCATCATTACTCCAGTCTTCAGTGTCACATGATCTTCAGAAATCACTATAATATGCTGGTTATTAGAAACATTTCTGATTATTATCAATGTTGAAAACAGTCGTGCTGCACAATATTTTTGTGGAAACCGTGATGCATTTTATTTTTCAGGATTCACAGATGAATAGAAAGTTTAAAAGAACAGCATTGATTTGAAATAGAAATCTTTTGCAACACTATAAATGTCTTTACTGACACTTTTGATCAATTTAATGCGTCCTTGCTGAATAAACGCATTCATTTGTTAAAAAAATAAAATAAAATCGTACTGACCTAAGTAATAGGTATCGCCTCATAATTGACATTCCCACAAGTTCTTACTCAGAAGTGGCCATCATATTTGTTTTTATTTTGTATGCATTTATGCACATTGGAATGTTTTATGTTACTTTTTTACAGCAGAAAAATAGTGTAAAAAGGAGTGCTGTCAAACGATTAATCGCGATTAATAAAAGTTTTTGTTTGCATAATATATGTGTGTACTGTGTATATTTATTATGCATATATATATATAAATACACACACATGCATGTATATATTTTGAAAATATTTACGTCTATATTTATATTGATATAATTTATATTACAAATAAATATATTTAATATATAAACGTAACATTTTTCTTAAATATATGCATGCATGTGTATTTATATATACATAATAAATATACACAGCACACATGCATACATTATGCAAACAAAAACTTTTATTTTGGATGCGATTAATCATTTGACCGCACTGATATATACATATATATTTACCTTGTGAGCAGTCGCATGCACCCTTCAGCGCTTTCTGATCCTGAGTGAAATCTGTCAGACACAATGCAATACTGCAGGATGAGATCGTGCATAGCATATTTCAGATTTAGGGTTATTTCTCTCTGGTTTGAGAAAGCATGACCTGCGCTGATGACGGGGGCTGTCTGCATGTCTCGCAGGAGTCTGTCGATGCTGCTGTCGTCTCCTGAATACAGCGCATAGCGATTGATCCCTAGATGGAACTGCAGCCAGCTGGCCTCGGGGTCAAAGGTCACGGGATGATCGGGTACAGTGATGTTTGAAGCTGCGGCCGCCTTGATGTAGGTCTTCTTCAGTCTGTACGGGACAACGAGAGCTGGCACTGGAGATTTGATCTCTCATCATAATGAATTTTTTCCCCCTCTTTAAACAAGAGAGTTACCTTCCCACACAAAACTTGGAATGAAATGAGTAGAAATTGCACATTTGGTGAGCTCTCTTTTAAGTCATCAACCTAGATAGGTATTATTAGCACTTAAAATAATGAGCTCCTCTAGCGAGCACAGGTCTGCACTCGTAGGAAACTTTCAGATCCAAAGCCTCAGCAATCTGCTGACAGAATTCTTTGGCTCCCATAGAAAGAGAGTTTATGTTTTATTACTGTAGAACCAAGCCACACACACGTCAACATACATGCATCTATATATATATGTGTGTGTGTGTATATGTATGTATATGTGACACACACACATATATATATATATATATGTACAGTATGTCTATAAAATTTAACAGCATTTAAAAGCCAGCATGAATATAATAATATGAATTAATATAACAAGAATAAACATTTAAATATATAAATGTACAATTTTGCTTTATTTTTATTTTTTTACATGAAGGCATAATACTATTATAATAATTAAATGTCATTGAAAGAAATGACATTCACACATTCCCAATTTTCTGCCATAATGTGATATATTATTCAGCTAAACCAGATAACGAGAAGAAATTTATGGTGGGATTATAATATAATAATAATGTATATAATCACTATTATTGGTGTAACCTTACTTTGTATGCATCTGTACAACTTTTTAATACATTTTGTATTCTATTTATACAAATGCATTTTATAATTTGTACATACTTTATACAGAAACAGAATCACGTCACAGATCATTGATCCTTTTAGAGCAAATATTAGCCGTTGAGCCATGACCTGTGCATGCATCAGCTTGAGCAACATACGAGACAAATATAAACTCCAGAAATGTTTAGCAGGACTCCAGCGGTGCGTTCACACAGCAGGGTTATGCTCAGAAATATAGCACAAATATAGACTTCTGAGCTGTTTTTCACCCGCAATCAGAGACGCTGACCACTGACCGACAAACCCACAGCTTCTGAAGCACCTAGCTCTGGACGAGTGCGTCCTGATTAAAGTGGGTGGTTTCTGGCAAAGCTCTGATCATGTGGGAGACGCTTGTGTTGCTGGCTGCACTTCAACTGAACGGCATCACGGCCCGTGCGATTAAAAGAGGGATCTGTCTATAAAACAACACATAACCTACAAAACAACTGAAAAGACCATTTCTGTGGGGCAGCGAGAGGGAGTTCTGCTATAAAAAGCGATCCTTTGAGTCAAAGATTCTGCAGCGTTGTCTTACTAAGAGAATATAGTTACAATAAAAATACTGAATTAAATTTATAATCATTTATTTTATATATATATATATATTATATTATAATACTTTATTTTTAAAATAAAAAGACGTAATACTATTAGAATTAATACAATAATAATAGTAATAAATAATAATAATAATTCATTTATTTAAAGAAATAAAATAAAAATGTTGCTTTATTTTTGTTTTTTAAACACAAAGGTATAATAATGCATTTATGCACATAGCAATATTAATACACTACTATATGAGTTCATATAATGATGAATAAATAAATATTATATTTCTTCTTTATTTTTACTTATTTAAACACCAAGGCATCATTTAATAATATAATATTATATTTATATATATATATATTTAGGTTGTCAATAACAAACATGCTTTAATTTCTCCTATTATAAACTAGTCTATCATAGAATAAAATAAATATATTATGTAACCTGTTACTATTTCTGCATGATATGCCCCTTACATTTAGTTTTGTTGGTGTAAACTAATGTATTTAGCTCAATTAAAGTTAGACTTGAACATCATTTACTTCAGTTAAGTTAGATGTCGCCATAAAGACACCATGTCACTGAAGTAAACAGTTAATAAAGAGGAGACTGGAGCTATTTCATTTCATCATTTCTTACTTTTTAGAGTGAAAAATTAAACAATAAAATGCACAAGCGTTGAATTTTGCTCTCATGAAAAAAGTTTAAAAAAAGAAAGTTTTATTAATATCAGGTAAGTTCAAGCTCTCCGATATTTCTTTGTATGTTGATTTTAAGCAGTTTAAAACAATGCTTTTATATTTCCATTTTTGGTGCATGAATATTCTGTTCATTTGTTAACATAAATCAACTACATTAGATCAAATTAATTAGCAATAAAAATACTGCTAAAGCATTTATGTTCATTACAATGTTTATTAATACATTATTGAAATTGTATCATCTAATATTATTTAAAGCACCTGAGCTAACACTGAATAGCTGTATTTTGATTAACTAACCTTAACAAAGATTAATTAAATACTGTAACAAATGCATTGCTAATTGTTATAGTTAAAGCTAGTCAATGCATCACCTAAGTTTTACTAACGGAAGTGTTTTTTTTAAACAAAACATCTTCTAAAATTCATCAATAAGCAACAGGTTGCCACTGTGACAACTTACCCCCTATGGTCAACGTGTGTTAAACACTGCTGGAAATCTTCAACACTCATGTGTCTATACAGAAGCTGATTTAACGACCATCCCCGCGATTCATTCAGTGCGTTCCTCCTAATAATCACGTCACATTATTTAACACACCTTTCCCAGCGGCTCACTTTCCTCTTGCAGTAGTTCATGAGCTCGTCTTCTTGCAGCAGCCGCTCCTCGGGCCCCAGCTCTGGAAGACGGATGTTGTAGAGCGGGTGTCTAAAGAGCCGCTCCAGCTTAGAGCCTCGCTCGGTCATATTCTGGCTCGTGGTCCATGGGACGGTCGCAGCGGCTCCGTTCTCCAGGCTGCTGTCGGTGCACGAGCAGCTTTCTCTGGGCAGCTGATACCAGGTTCTGAGTCTGGGAAGCAGGATGAAATGGATGTCTGCTGCCAGAAGGGTGACCAAAGTGACGGCCACCAGAAGCCGATCTCTTCTCATGTCAACAGATTGAAGGGACCAGTTGGGTCGAGGTGTCCTCCAAGCTGGTCAAGTTGGGAGAATGATCTCCGCTTCTTCATCGACAAATCCTGCAGCTTCTGTTCTGACCAGTGTTGTGTTCTCCGCTTATTCCATGTGTTGCATCTGACCCAGAGAAGCACAGTGCTGCTTTGCTCTCTCTTTCTCTCTCTGTGTTGAAGCTTCAGGCAACATTCCAGCTGCACCTTCCCACTTCCCATGTAGACTCAGCCTCCCATCAAAAGCACACACACACCCACACACACACACACGCAGACACACACACATGCAGACACTCACACTCTCACACACACACATGCAGACACACACACACACACACACGCAGACACTCTCTCACACACACACACACTCTCACACACACACACACATGCAGACACTCACACTCTCACACACACACACGCAGACACACACACGCACACACACACGCAGACACTCTCTCACACACACACACACTCTCACACACACACACACACACACACACACATGCACACACTCACACTCACACACACACCCAGACACACACACATGCAGACACTCACACTCTCACACACACACGCAGACACACACATGCACACACACACACACTCTCACACACACTCACACACTGTCACACACACACACACACACACTCTCACACACACACACACACACACACACACACACACACACGCACACACACACCCTGGAGAGAGAGAGAGAGAGAGAGGGAGAGGCAGGGAACGAGTCGGAAAGCAGGTCTGAGTGCCAGCGCACATAAAGCGAGTGTTTTCACTCGAGAAATAAAAAGGCCTGGGTTTTTCTCCGCCGCTGGTGGAATCCGCTGTGTGAGACGGATGGGATGTTTCCCAGACTGCATCTGGGCCGAACATCTGCCGTTTGTTTGGGTTTGGATGTGCGTGTTTGTGGATCAGCTGTAAAATCATAGTTCTGAGGTTATGTGTAATTTTCTAATTATTCTGTGTTGGGGATGAGAAGGAAAAAGACGAACGGATGCAGAACGAAGCTTTAAAGGCACAATATGTCATTTTCGCCGCTAGAGGGCGCGTATTCAAAATAAACAAAGAGACAAAGGCATAGTTTGATGACGCCGTGACCTTACATATTGTGCCTTTAGCCAGTCTAAAAATTGATTTTAGAAAACGCATTCGCTGGGTAGTTTTCTAAGGTTTTTGACTTTTTTTTTCCTTCTTAAAAAATTTAATAAAATAAAATATTTCAGATTTACATATTTGAATTACATATTCAATTCCCATCCATTTTGATTAACACACAAACTAATACTTATGTGATACATGTTTGTCAATCATCCATAAATGAAACGGGTAAGAACCATTTGTTTAAAAAAAATCATGGCATAGTTTGTTATTAACTAGGTGCATCTATTTGATTAAATTTAAATAATTGTATTTTAAAATGCATTCATACAATTGGTTTAGAATCAGCAAATATCTGTTCATTGTGAAAATAATTACATTTATTCAGTATGAACATGGTTAAAATATGGCTATAGTGACAATATTCAGTTAGTTGAACTGTATAGAGATATAGAGATAAACCTGCTTATTGTGTATTTAAAACCCATTCAGTTTATAAGTACTATTTTGACAAATATGCATCACATTAAGTTTATTAGTTTGTTCAATCTGTGTAATCCAAATAGATGGAAACTGTTTATGCAATCCAACTATAAATCTTAAAATAAGGATAGTTTCCCCAAAAATAAAAATGGATGCAGTTCCAAACCTGTATGAGTTTCTTTTTTCTGTCGAACACAAAAGAAGATATGTTGAACCAAACAGTTGACGGTAGCCATCGACTTTCATAGTTCTTCAAATGACCTGTATTGAACAACTCGAGGGTGAGTAATAATGACAGAATTGTCATTTTTGGGTGAACTATCCCTTTAAATCCAGGCCTGAATATGTACAAATAAACCAAAACAACGTCTTTCCCAACACAGCAGGAGTGCACGAGTCCAAAATCCCTTGCTATTTTGAAATGCAATCCACCTCATACTCAAAAACAAACACGTCTTTCTGAATGAAATCACATGTTGTTTGCAGCTGTTGAACAGTGTGTATTTGGGTAACACCCCGTTCATTGCTGCTACCAGATGACCTCAAAGTTGACTGAATGCCAGCATTTAGAGTGTGGCGGTACTTTCAGAAAGAGGTGGCTTCTGGGTAATGCTCATCAGCCAACTCCGTGTTGTGGAGTTTATTTCATGCTGCTGGATTCGGTTCGGGAACACTCACATCGCACTTCATTTTTCTGCCCGAGTTGAAGTGTCACTGATGCTTGAAGATTTATAAGCTTGTTTTGTTCATCCTCCAAAGCCTCGCGCTTTGTTTACTTGTACTCTTCGTTATCTGTCTTGGATTATTCGTGCAGAGCAGCTCCAAAGCTTCCAGGAACGCTTTCAACAAATTATATAACAGCATGTCAAAAGCTGGCTTTTGGGAAATCTTGGTGAAGAAAGTTTCCTAGTCAAAAAATAAACATTCATGCATACAAGTATCCGTGAAAAGAGCAGCTTCATTTGTACTCACTTGTCTTGCTATCAGACGAATGCATTGCACATTGAGAGGGAGTTTCTGCATTCCCAGTCGTCCAGCTCTTCTTGAATGGATTGATGGAAGTAATAAATCTGAATGACCAGCTGGCGGAGCGCCAGAGGACGAGAGCTGCAGGTGAAGCAAGGCTGATTGTGCTTGTGATATTTCATTAATTAAACCACTCGTTGTGTGACTCTAGAGGAACAATGATTACAAACCGTGTCTTATGGACCATAAGCGTTTAAATTTGATTTGAACGCCGCAATTCACGACTTTTGTAGTTTCCTGGAAAATAATTAGTTTTCGGATGATTTGAGGTACCTAGCCTTTGTTTGAATTGTATTGCTATGCTGGGGTGCGTTCCCAAAAGCAACTGTTAGCACAACACAACGGTAACAAGCCGCAACACAACGCTTACAGCGCTGTTGTGCATTGTGACCAGTTGATGGGAAAATAATTCTTAATGCAATTTTGAAGTGCCCACGATAACAATATCGTGCATATTCATTATCGTGATATATCTCATTACCGAATACCGACATATGAGTCAAACCGTACCCCGTAATTTCACATTCTGATACGCATTTAAATACATCATTAACAAACAGATGCTCAGTTTGGTTCTGTACACATGCGTAGAATTTCTGTAAATGCAGTTGTCACTACCTGAATGTTTCGGGAGTCAGTTTGGTTGTAGAATGCAGTTGTCTCTCCTGTTAATGACTGCCTTGTACGGTGGCCCAGTAGTGCACAACAAAACTAAATCTCCGCAACACAACGAAATTAGCACAACGGAAACAAGCCGGAACACAAAAATAAGCTACAACACAAAGAAAACAATTCCAACACTACAAAAATAAATCATAAACCAAAAATGTAGCTTGCTATGTAGCTTGTGGTTTCTGTATGGTTGCTAAGGTGTTGCTATGTAGCTGGTGCTTTCTAAATGGTTGCTAAGGTGTTGCTAAGGCATTGCTATGATGTTTCTGGTGCTTTCTATATGGCTGATTAGGTATTCTGAGTGATTTTCAATGTTCTTCAAGGTGTTAATTTACTAATCTTTTTCTTGCCAGGAATTTTTAGAAAGACATATTTTAATGTTGTCAATAAGCTTAATAATTGAGGACACAATCAACAGAATGTCTATACAACCTCATTTCTAATTAAGACAAATTATTTATTGCTAAAATACATACACAGTCAAATTTCAAAAACATTTTTATTTTTTTTTCCCCCTCTATATTGTAATAAATAATACATATTGCATACAAACATTGACGTGACTGAACAATGGTGGCACAAAAGCGATGTCTATTAAACTGTTAAGGCAGAGAATTTCGGTGTAAAACAGTGTACAGTCACTGACCTGCAGTAAAAAAAATAAACCCTGTGTCCTCCGTCATACGGCTGTCTAGTCCTCCAGTGTTTCACAATGCAGAGGAGCTTCAGAGGAGAGCATGCGAGAGCTCGCCTCTGCTCCTCTGGAGGAAATCTGACGTATCTTCAATCTCCAAGGCTTCAAAGGTACATCTTTCAGCTCACTGATCTCCTAGAAAGAGTTACACTTATTTGGTGAACATGCTAATAAAACACTAGCTATGTTTCCACTCACCTATCTTTATGCACATTTTGGAATATCGCATTAAAAAACGCTGGATGGAAATGTCAAGATGAGCATAAATCCTAAAAATGTGCATAAACTACGATGGAAACACTTTTACCGAATAAATTCCACCATGTGCATTAAAAAAGTCATGCGAGTTTGCACGATGGGACGGCATAACCTTACTAACCAGCAGACTGATCTTGTTGCACAGCATCTGAAATGTTGTGAAATGCTTGAGCAAAGTCTGTCGTCAAAGTATTTCTGTATAATTGTCTTACACGACTGCGTTCCCAAACATCAGTATCCACCTCCGAAAGCATTGACAGCATTTATTGTGTTTCGTCTGCTCGCTCTGAGGCACAAGTAATTTATCATAAATTAAACTGATTATATTCAGTGGTTTATCCTACTTTTCTTAGTGATATTTAGTGCCAGTTTATCAGTGCGAGTCTTTGACTCGTTGGATGGAATCACATCTTTTGAATAGCAACATAGCTACTGTCAACTGCTTCTTGTTTAATTAAGTGAGGATTTTAAATGCTTAAAGCTCTTTTTCCACTGTGAAATGTGTCTGACTTGTGTGATGTGGTAGCCGTAACAATGTCTCGCTCCCTTAAACGTGCCGTTACAGTCAGTAGCCCATCCTGGCACTCTTTCACCATAAACTCACCCTCCTCCGTCATGCATTTCTCATTTCATTTCCAGCCAGGCGTTCGCTTGAACAATTTACAGAGAAAACCCATCTGAGTCTTCTCATTCCACAGGCTTCCCTTGGCCAAGCTAAACTTCAGTGTGTTGAGGCGTTCATGGCAACAAGCACTGAACACGAAACTCTTCTGCTGTTCTCGTAACACAAGGGATGAAACAATAGGGTGGTGTCTTTGTTTTTCTCCTTCGCTGGTTTTGCAAACCTTTCAATCAGTGCCCAGTGTCATGTAGCCACAGGTATGTTTCTATGTCTACAGGTATGTCTTCTACACTTTATCAACTTTTTCCCCAACACTTTGTAAAATAAAAGCATCTCCAGTAGGATATATATATATTATGTGTGTCATAATGACAGGTGGTTGTATTGTTTGTTTCTTAGCAACAATTTTAAATTATATGTAATATTATATTTTGAACTATTTTTGAATTATGTTTATTTGTTTTAAATCTTGAATTTGTTCTTTTTAATTTTTAAAGATTAAATTTTAGTTTTAGTTTTATACACAATAATTGTTTTTTTTACTTTTAATAAAAATAATACAAATACAAACAATTCTGTTTTCTGTAACAATTTATGTATCAATTCATCTTATTTGGTCTCAATATGTGGCTTTTAACCTTTTTGGCCATATATATAAGATATCTTATAATGACAGGTGGTTGTATTGTTTGTTTCTTAGCAACAATTTTAAATTATATGTAATATTATATTTTGAACTATTTTTGAATTATGTTTATTTGTTTTAAATCTTGAATTTGTTCTTTTTAATTTTTAAAGATTACATTTTAGTTTTAGTTTTATACACAATAATTGTTTTTTTTACTTTTAATAAAAATAATACAAATACAAACAATTCTGTTTTCTGTAACAATTTATGTATCAATTCATCTTATTTGGTCTCAATATGTGGCTTTTAACCTTTTTGGCCATATATATAAGATATCTCCTCTATTATTTCTTCTATACTTATGCTTGTAATTTTATTTTATTTTATTTAAATAAAAACTGGGAAACAAACAGAAACAATAGTTATTTAAGGGGAAAAATAAAAAGAGAATTTTAGAATATAATTTTTCTTAGCATTTTAATTAAGTTAGATTAATTTATTAATAATAATCATAATATTAAAATATATGGATTTTATTTATATATTTATTTAAATTCAAATAATAGAAAGTTTGCTCAAGTGAGTTCCGTTCCCTTAGTTGAGAACCAAAATTCATAGACTATTTATTTATTCAAAACAATAAAAGATAATGTTACAATATTTGTGCATAAGTTAATTAATAACCGTGTGCTGTGCCTTTGCTTTTTCGTAACCAGCATGTCTGTGCCACAACACCTGTCCCATCTCGACCATTTCAAAACAACATCAATGATTTTAACATGTCAGGAAAGACTGACTAACCGGCAGCTCCAGAGCCTGAAGCGGCATGAACTCGTTCCCGAAGCGACAGAGCTTTTCTCGGCCAGTCTCCCGTGGCCTGCGTTGCTGCGCAGTCATCTTAATCTCCAGATCCCTAAACGCATGCTCTCCAGACAGAACCTGAGACACACGGTGAAGTAAGACCACACTGTGTAGAGAAATCCTTTACAAACAGTCAAGTACTGTAGTTTTAGCATATGTGACCCTGGACCACAAAACCAGTCATAAGGGATGAATAAATAATCTTTCCATTGATGTATGGTTTGTTAGGATCGGACAATATTTGAAAATCTGGAATCTGAGGGTGCAAAAAAATCTAAATATTGAGAAAATCATCTTTAAAGTTGTTCAAATGAAGTTCTTAGCAATGCATATTACTAATCAAACATTAAGTTTTGATATATTTACGATAGAAAACATCCAAAATATCTTCATGGAACATGATCTTTACTTAATATCCTAATGATTTTTGGCATAAAAGAGAAATGTATAATTGTGACCCATACAATGTATTGTTGGCTATTGCTACAGATATCCCCCAGCGACTTAACACTGCTTTTGTGCTGCAGAGACACAGATAAACTGAACTGACTTACCTTACTGTATTTAGGCAGCGGGAACCTTTCCATAGAGCTGCAGCGCTCAGAGTCTGGGGTCTGGGGTCTAGCCATACGGCCTCTTTGCAGGTCTAGAGCTAATTCTGCAAGTAGAAATAGACGTTACATGTTAACACGTAAATTAAGCGTATATCTAATCTGGAATAAATGTTTAAAGACAACATTTGACAATTTAATGCATTTAACTTCTGTAATGTGACATCTTCCTGAACCAGTGTTATTTTAGTATTTTTTATGTAATATTATAGTTTTATGAATATTTTGAATAAGTTTTATTATTTTGAAAAATAATTTTATTTTTATACTTTCAGTTTTCATTTTAATTTTAGTTACATTTGTAGTATTTTGTTATGTGCTTTTGTCATTTGTGATAGTTTTTATTTATTTTAAATATTACTATTTAGGTTTAATTTATTTTTATTTTAGTTAGGTTGTATTTCTATTATTTCCAGTTAGTAATTTTAGTGCTTCAACTTAACTGAAGTCAGTGCTGTTAAATTGTGTGTGTGTGTGTGTGTGTGTGTGTGTGTGTCTGTGTGTGTGTGTGTGTGTGTGTGTGTGTGTGTGTGTGTGTGTGTGTGAGTGAGTGAGTGAGTGTGTGTGTGTGTGTGT